TACTTATACTTAATTGTCATAATATATAATTTTAGTATTTCTTTAATTATTTTAAACTATTATATTGTGTTGAGTTCTGCTCCTGGCAAGGGATTTTACAGGCATCATTCACCATCAATTTTCACAGCATTTCACATGCTGTGAAAATGAAAACATTTATATATTCAGCAAACACCAGGAAAATATACATTGTTGTGCTCACATGACCCAGGTTAGTTGAGTCAAATATATTTTATTCAAATTTTGTGCTTTATCCATAGGACCTGTTTTGTCCCTATTCTCAAGAATCACTGAAACACGTTTTCTCTCTGTGCTACCACGTTTGTGCTAGCCTCTGTAGCATCCGAGCTAGCAGCTAAATCAGTTCCTGTTTAGCAGCAGCAACTATCGCGGCTGACGGATCTCTGTCTGCTGTGAAAACATCAGCACCTTTATCCAGACCTACCAGAACTTTGTCTCTGCAGCTCCGAACCGACTCTGTGTAGCTTAATTTGTGGTTTCCAGTCGATCCCCATCATCCTGCGCTGAGCATCGAGCTCTTCCTCGTAGCAAATGATGGTTTTTTCAACCTCTGTGAAGATTTCTTGAGCAGCAGCAGTTAGTCGCTCTCTGATAAACTCTCTGAGATGCTGAACTGAAGACATGGTTGCTGAAATATTAGCTGAGATGGGACAATGAAACAGTTTTCTAGCTTAGCCCATGCAGGTTTCTTCTTCGATGTCTTTCAGGCGGTAGGGAAACAACGACATTGGTGCAATACCGCCCCCTACTGAACTGGAGTGTAGACACGCGATGAACAAGGAGGGAAATACTTCTTGGTTTTACTGGCGGTCTGCAAAAAACTTTTAGTACCATTACCGCGACCTACGGGTGCAGTGTGGTTGCTGATGGTCTTCATACTATCTATACTTATAAATACACACACGCACTCGCACACACATATAAATATGAATACAAATACTTGTATCTAACTTTGTGCACTATCCATCTGTATATCATACACACATTCACAAACACACCTACTAGATATAATCAAATTCTATGAAATAATTTAGTTTTCTATAAAAATTTAATAACTATTTGTATATGTTAACCACCCAAATTCTTCCTCAAAATATCTAATAAATTAACCTTTTCCGTAATACTTTCAAACTCTCTCCCTCATATATCTTTCTTTTTCATATTTATGACATTCTAGTATAACATGCTCTATAGTTATTTTCCACAGTGATCACATTTGCCAGTATTGTGCTTTCAAATTTTAAAAAGCGTCCAAATTTCAACTTTGCCATTCTTTCCATTTCTACTTTCTCCTACTATGTTTTTTTCTTTATCGCATCTTTTTTGCCATTCGTTCATCAGTTTTTAACAATACAATTTCCCTCATATTTACTTGAAAAACTAGTAGGATTTTGAATTGGCTTTTTATCTGCCCTCTCATTTCCTTCTACTCCAATATGTGCTGGAATCCACACAAATGGACCCATATTTTGTATTCTGAATAATGTATGAACTATTTCTTTAAAAAATTGCTATTCTATTCTCTATTCTAGATTTCTATTGCTTCTGGTAGAAACCATGGTGGTTGTACAATTGATATTGATGTTTGACTAATTTCTAAACTATTCAATTGAAATTATTTTCTTTTCTTTTCAATTATCCATCCAAAACTCCTAATTTCTTTCTTTTCTTTTTCCCCAACATGGATTTAAAATTTCCCAAGTTGGATGATTAAAGTTATTGCCTTGTAAATTTAACCAATAATTCATTTCTAGTTTTGGCTTCTTAAATCTAACGGCATTTCTCTCATTTCTCCTTGTATTGCTGCTGTTGATGTGGTTTTAAATGCTCCGGTACATTATCTTAATGCCTGATATTGAATAATTTGTCTAATTTAACCAGATGTGTTTTAACTAAAATACAACTTCGTATTATTCACAAGTCTTTATTTCTAGACAAAAAGTAGTCTGTGATATTTTAAAAAATAAAATACACACATCATTAAGTAAAGAAAAAAACACATCACAAAGCAGATAAACAATTATTCCAAGAGGTAAAATATCTATATCTAATATCGCTATATGTCAGAGTTTTTATTAAGGTGTTTGATACATCCAAGCAGCACATAAATTTATACATGAAATTCAACAACAAAGCATGAAAAGTTGGTGTTACTCATGACAAACATTTGTCTTCCAGATGTCCATCGTGGAAATCTGAGGAGGATGCTGAAAGCGTCCTGATTGGCTACTTTGCAAAAGTCAGCCAGTAGCATGTCAAGTAGCATAGAGCTTCAATATATACACTTCCAAACCAGTTGAAAGGCTTTGATAATAAAAAATTCATAAATGAACAACCAAAAATAGGTGAGGGTCTAATGTTATGCAAAGTGAAATAATCCAAGACAGAGTTTCTGGGCACGGACCCCAGATAAGAAAATGGATGGATGGATTTTTTCACAGGTTGGGCTTCAAAGTGGCCCCTGACATGTATGGGTTTTCATGTGAATGATCAAATTATCCCTTCGATAGAAGCTTTTCTCACACAAGTGGCATGAAAAAAGCTTCTCACCTGTATGAATTGTCTTGTGACGATTTAAATACCTAATTTGAGAGAAAAGCTTTCCGCATGACTGGCATGAGAAAGGCCTCTCACCTGTATGAATTTTCTTATGCACCTTTAAATCACCAATTCGAGAGAAACTCTTTCCACATATCTGGCATAAAAAAGGTTTCTCACCTGTATGAATTCTCTTGTGACGATTTAAATCTCTCATTACACAGAAACTTTTTCCACATGACTGGCACAAAAAGGGCTTCTCACCTGTATGAATTCTCTTGTGCTCGTTTAAATTATCAATTCGAGAGAAACTCTTTCCACAAATCTGGCAAAAAAAAAGGTTTCTCACCTGTATGAATTCTCTTGTGACGATTTAAATCTCTCATTACACAGAAACCTTTTCCACATGTTTCACATGAAAAAGGTCTCTCACCAGTATGGGCCCTATAATGGTTTTTCAAGTTCCACTGTTGTGTGTAACATTTCCCACAAATGTCACATTTGAAAGATCTTTTCTTTGTGCCGGTATCAGACTGACTCTCTGACTCAGAGCAGCTGCTTCCTTCCTGATCTTTGCTCTCAACCACTGGAGAGATATGAAGGGAAAGCTGCTCTGTTCTTGTCTCTTCTTCATTCATATCATCTTCCTGAAGAGTAGAAGTCTCAATCAAAGCAACAAACTGCTTCTGGACAAGCTGCTCTCCCTCCTGACTGCTGCAGAGGTCCTTCTGGTCCTGTCCAGTTGGTAAATGTTCTGGTGGCTGCTGTTCATGTTGAAGCACTGAAGAATCTAGCTCCTCTTTTCTT